AAGGAAGCACAGGCACAATTATAGATGGCTTCCTTGACCAGTTTAGCCACCAAAGAAAGGAAAGCTATAGGACGACAGCTCCAGGGATGCATCCATCAAGTGAGTGCTAAGGGTGTCAAGGTGACTTTCCTAAAGCTTAGGTCTGGCCATCTTCAGTAGTTTCCTACATTTCCAGGATCAAATACAAAATGAGGTTTGACTTTTAAAGCCTTTCACAATCTAGTCCTTCCCATCTTCCTAATATTCTTACTCTTTATTCTCCTGTAAAAAGCCTCGCAGAAGACACTCCACTTCCAGACTGCTCTCCATGTCTACAATATCTCCCTGTAGTTTCCCTCCCTTCCTTCTAGAGCCAATTTTTCCTGGTCCTCTCAGCTACCAGTGCCTTCCCTTCTGAGATTACTTTCCACCTACTCTATCTTCTGTGTACCGAGTTATTCAACATCAAGGACAGGAACTCTTTTCTCCAGAATTTAACACAGTGCCTGGAGCATAGTCAAAAGTGCTTTTTAAAATGCCTGTTGACATACTGACTTTGGGCAAGTCACTTAAACCTCCCAGGCTTTGGTTTTCTCATCTGTACAAGGTGTTGGTGTAGATGACTTCTGGGATCTCCAGCTCTAGATCCCATCATCTGAACCCGCAGCATCTGTGTCAATGTTCTATAACATTGTGCCTAAAAAGCATGCCCAAGAAATGCCATGATTTCACCCACCTTCTCTTCTCCAGGTACCAACACCAATGCTCTGAGTTTAAGTTTTGTTTTTTAAACAACTGTCTGCCATGTGTTTGGGACAGTACTAGCAGCTCTGGATTCAAAGACAAAAATGAAATAGTCCCTACCTGCAGCGTTTATGCTCCAACAGAGGGAAACAACATTAACACACACAAGTAAATACGAAGTAAGGGGGTGGAAGGGTGGCACAAGGAAGAAGGCACTCACTGGCCACTCAGGACCTGGTAGAAGAGGTGGCACTAGAGATGAGCCTGGGAGGAACTAGGAGTTCTATATGACAACAGGTGAAGAAGAAGTTCATTTCTAATATGGAGGAGGAGAAACAGAAGACAGATGGTCATAAGGTGTGAGCAAGATGTAGTATGGTCATTACATAAAGAAACGTTCACTAAGCCTAGAAAAGCAGCCTAGAGGCAGAATGTGAAGGATTTGTATTTTATCACAAAGGAAGCAACTGGAGCCTCTTGCACTGGGGAATGAATGACACAGTCCTGTGCTTTAAGAAAATCAATTTGGCAGTAATATGGAAGATGGATTGGGAAGGAGAGAGAGGACAATTAGGCAGCTACAGTCCAGGAGACAGATAATAAGAGCCTGTACTAGAGTGGCAGTTATAAGTGGACAAAAGAAGACAAAGAAAGAAATGTAGAGGAAGTAGAATTGACAAGTCCTAGCAACTACCTGGATTAGGGGGAAGGTGAGAGAAAAAAGTCGAGGATGACTGCAAAGTTGTGAAACTGGGTGACTGGAAGAATAGCGGTGACTTAATTAGAAATAAAAGAGTTAGGGAAAAGGGGAGGCTTTTGAAGAAAATTTAACAAGTTGTGCTTTGGACATGTGGAGCTGAAGATGCCTAGAAGACACTGAATCAGAAAATGTCCAATAAGCAGTTGGGGATGCAGGGCTTGCATTTCTGCAGAGAGCTTAGAGCTTCATATATAGAGCTAGAACTCATTTGCATAAAGATGATAATTGAACCCATGGGAGCTGATGAGGTCACCTAGAGAAGCAGAGAGGGGAGAAAAGAAAAGCCCTATGACGGGGGATGGGGGTGGGGTAACGATGATGGATGATGAGCCAAGCAAAGAAGACTGAGGAGGGGCTAGACAGGTATGAGAACAGTCAGAAGAGATCCATATGCAGGAGAAAGGGGTCAGTAATGTCAAATGCTGCAGAAAAGTCAAGAAGGATGAAGAGCATGAAAAGGTCGGCTGATTTGGCAATTAAAAGATCACTGATAACTTTGAAGAGCAATTTCAGCGGAGTAATAATGTTGGAAGTCAAACTGAGAAGTGAAAGGAAGTATTTTCTACGAGAGTACCCAAGAAAAGGAAAAAAAATATAGCTTGAGGGGATGGTAGGGTCAAGTAAAGGTTTTTAAAGACTAAAGCAGATAGGGACATATTTATGGGCAACCGGGAAGGAGCCAGTAGACAAGGAGAGACTGAAAATTAGACAGGGAATCTTTGCAGAGGCAAGTCTATTACCTTCATCTTCCACATCACTCTCCACTTCAACATCCCTCATAGAAATGCCTGAAACTTACATCCCTAAGGAACTCCTTGCTGCTGCTACTATAGTTACCCAAGATCCCTGTCCCCAGTAAAACCCCCAAGACCTTACTTAGGCCCTTCTCTTCCCTTCCTACCACACTTAGGAACACTCAATCCTCTTGGCTTCTCCGCTCTGTGCTGACTGAATTACTATTGCCTCATTTTTAATCTACTGTCACTACATTAACAATATTAGTCCTCTGCAAAAATAACTCATAGACCTCTCTTGAATTCCAGTCTCAAATTCTGAAGGCCTATTACTGAGTAACGAGAAAGAAGTAGTCCCTGTATCTACAATGAGGACAATATCAAGAAACATGGTCTTCAGGGTCTCAAGTTGGTATCTGGAATATTTTCCCATCTAAGTAACATGGTCATTAGCCACTACTAGTCTATGTACATTATGGGTTAGATGGGCATTTGTAAGCTTTCCTGGACACTTAAATCACCACTTAAAAATTTTCTGTGGGGGAAAATTAGTTACAAATAACTAAATTGAACATTATAACACAACCCATAAGGTAGGAACTGTCCGTACTTACGGTAGGTATAAAAACCCGGCCCTTTTCATAAGCCTTGGAGACCTGAATTATAAACTGCATACAATGGAGGCTTTTCAATTTTTTAACCATACTACACACTCACATTATCACAGTGGACTTTTAAGAAAAATTAATAAATGCTCTTTAGCATCAAAAAGGATGGGTAGGAACGTTTTTCAGTTCAGGGAGGTAGGAAACAAACGTAAATTGGATCTGAAACAAATCATTTCCATTCAACCACTCTCTAGTGTACATTCAAATAAAAATACATCATCTTTCATCACTTAGGCAAACTCAACCTGTCACTTCCTGATCTACACAAAATATAAATATCAGGTAGAGAAGTGGAACAGAAATCCTGCATTCAGCTGGTTCAACACCTACTTTGCCTCTAAAAAATGCTAAGGCACTAAAAAATTTCTAATATACCAATATTTCAATATTCCACATTATCTGAGTGTAGAAAAGGCAATGCTGTGAATTTACCTAAAATTTCAATTCTAGTACCTAAAATTAGGTAATCCAAACTCAAATGGGTAGACATTAATACGTGGCCAAGTCTTATCCCTGAACTTTTTAGGTAGGGTGCACTGAACTCTAGAATAATAGTCTACAAGCCTCCATTTTTAAAAAGAGGTTGGTTTCTCCATTAGACTTTTAATTTTCCACTATTAAAGTGAGGCATTTTATGTTCAGCGCAGCTATTTTCGACAAAATGAATTTTATGCTCCACTGCTTCCCAAGCTGCCTAGAAATGTCACATTTCAGGATTGTTCAATGACATATGTAAAGTTGTTACCCCAGATTGATAACAATTGTCTATCATTACCATCTGTCAGCTATTTTGTGAGTTATGGGAAACAAGGTGATAGACAATCTAATTCCTTGTGGGTAAGTATCCATATTACATCATTACAACTGGTGCTAATTTGCACTCTCCCCAGAAATCTTCACAAAGGGATTCAGCAAATACATAGTCCTTATGTCAAATAGGACACAGGCTTTTAAAACTAAGTAATACGGAAGCACAAAGAAACAAATCTAGTGCAGTATGTATTGTTACACAGGATATACTTTTCATTTCTAAAATTAGGTTATAGTAAATTCAAAATATAACACTATCCAGAAGTTAGAGGTACAAAAAAAAAGATGTAATAAGGTACAATTAAGAAAGATGCAGAGCCCTATACAGATGGCCTGATCCTAACATGAGACATTAACAAAGCAGGTATATCATAGAATGCTACAGCTCAGACCAAACAAACAAAACAACTTCCCCCCCCCCACACCACATACATACATACACACACACACAAAGGGAGAGGACATTTAAAAAAACCATTAATAAAAAAAACCTTTAAAAACAGATTTATAACTATATCAACCCAGATTTTGTGTTTGTCCTTATTAAAAAAAAAACAAACTTCCACTGGTAAATGTCAAAAGTAGACTTTAGTCTGAAGCTTCAAAGAATGATTCAGTTAAAATGAAAAAGAACAGTTAACATTTCAGCCTAATTTTGCAATCAGAAAAAAACTTGTGATACATAAAGGCATCACAAAAATTTTCCCAATTACTGATAACTCAGTGAAAAGAAACTAATTTCACTTTGTAAATTAAATGTATGCACACAAAGCAACAGCTACTTAACTGGTACTGAAAGTCAAATCTGTCTCATCCCTGTGCAAACTGGGATGAGAGGAGAGGATAAATGCTAAGTGAAATCACCGTCCACAACACCATGCCCAGCCCGGAAGGCTTCAGCAGCGGAGATTCAATCCCGAACCTCTATCCCGGGTCCCCAGTACACCAAACTTGGGCGCTAAACAGTTCTCTGGGGCGCCGGCCGGGAGGCTAGCCGCCTCGGCCCCGGACCCGGACCCCCCGGCCGGCTGCAGGCCCCCAGGCCGGACGCGCCTGCAGAGCGGGGCTGGCCAGCCCTGGCCCGCGGAGGCCCCGGCAGAGAAGCATTGTTCGGGCTGCGGCCTCCCCGGGCCCCGACCCCGCCTTCCCGCCGGGGCCGCGCTCGGTGGCCCGGCCGGCTCCGTGGACCCCCGCGCACACGCGCCGCGCCGGGCCGGGCGTTTAAAGGGCGGGCCCGGCCGCTGCCCAGGCCCGCTGGGCTCCCGACAACAATGGGCCCCGGGCCGGACGCCGCGTCTCCCTTACCTGGCCTTGAGGCTACTGCTGCTGCTGCCGCTGCTGCTGCTACTGTGGCCGTGGCCCGGGTTCGGGCTGCCGCCGCCGCCGCCACTGCCGCTGCCCCTGCCCCCGCCGCCACCGCCGCCGCCGCCCCCCGCGGGCCCCCGGGGCTCGTAGGCCCAGGCCGGGGCCGGGGCCGGGGCGGGCGCGGGGGCGGGGGGCTGAGCCGCGGCAGGGGCGGGGGGCGCGGGGGCGGCGGGCGCGGGCGGCCCGAGCGGCAGCGGCTCCGCGAAGCCCGGGCTCGGGTAGGTCCTGTCCATGCCGGGGCCGCGGAGGGCACGGGCGGGCGGGCGGCGGGGCGGCCCGCGGCCCGGACGGGGAGGAGAGGCGAGGCGAGTCGAGGCGGCGGGGGCCGGGGGCTGCCTTCACATGCTCGCGGGGCCCAGGGGCGCGGGCGGCGGCGCCAGGCCCGGCCCGGCTCGCTCAGGGGCGCGGCGACGGCGGCGGCGGCGGGGGCGGCGGGAGAGGCAGCGGCGGCGGCCCGGACCCGCGGCGACGGCGGCGGCGGCGGCAGCAGGAGGAGCAGGAGCCGCCGCTTCTCCCCATGTTGCTGGATTTCCCAGGATGCACCTCCCCCTCGCGCGCCCGCCCGCCCGCGCCCCCGCCCCCGCGCCCGCCCCAGCCCCGCCCGCTTCCTAGCCCACGCGCGCGCGCACGCCCCCTCGCGCCGCCCCGGCCCTCACCTCCGCTAGCCTCCGGCCCACCAGGCTCTTCGGGGCTGAGCGACGCCTCAGCTTGGCCCCGCGGCTGCCGGCTGTCCTCGAGCCTCGCGGGCTTCGACTGGGAGAGGGGCAGGTCGGGAAGCCCGAGGCGCCCTGGGGGCGCGCATTCCGTGGAGGGAGCCCGGCGAGTGACGGCGGCGGGGGCGCGGGGCGGGGGTGTGAGCAGGGCCGGGCCGGGCGCTATGGCACCCCTGCCGCCCGCGGGCGCGGACCTGCCCTTCGGCCTCGGGCGCCCCTCGCTCCCCGCCCCCGGGGCCGGCGACGCCCGCGAGAAGCCTCCCCAGCCAGCCAGCCGCGGTCACCGCCGCCCCTCCCCCCGGGGGGCCCAGAGCCCGGAGGCCGTCCTGGGGGGCGGTGCGCGAGGTGGGCTGTCCATGAGGCTGATGCGGCCTCGGGAGGGCAGTGTCTGGGGCTGTCCTGGCCCGGGCGCTGCCCTCTCTTTGTGTGTCTCTGGAAGACCCTTCCTGGGACCAGACCAGGGAGACGCCGCTTTGTCTCCTGAAGGCCCCGGGAGCCGAAGGAGACTAACTCCCGCAGCTGTCCGTTTGGGCGCTTAAGCCTAACAGAAAGTGGAGAAAAATTTACAATTAAGACGTGCTAAAATGAATTCCATTAGTTCGAAAGAATAACATCCCACCAGCCAATCAGTGGAACGTTATTGAACATCTTTTAGGTGTCCAGCACTAAAATCTGATCCCTTGGAGAAAGTGAAAATTGAAGAATAAATCTAGGAACCCTTCGAGGAGACAGCGTAAACTTGATACAGTGTCACTGACTACTGATTTGAAGAATCAGCTTAGACTTTGGATAATAGGATAATTGATTATGAATGACCCATTCCGCCCTCACCCTCGTCTTATTTGTCGTAATTTTTACTCTGGATCTCCCCCGCCTCCACTCCTGCCCAGCAATTTTGTTTCATTAAAAGCGGAGGCATTTGCAACTGTCCCGAAAATATTGTGTTTGGATCTCGTTCATCCTATTCTCTTCCTGGCGCCTACATCCTTTTGTTTCTGTTCGCCCTCTTTTTGCAAGTCTATTTGCACCTGGATTGATTGGAACCTGGTAGTGGGTCTGAGAGAAGGATAGCTGAAGAAAGAGAGTGGTTGTTATTTACAAATGAATCCCGAGGAATGGAGACAGTGGTGACTGCCAGTTTGATGCTAATTCCCATGTACATTTACCGTTGGAAGCCATTGAAAAGTAGCATTTCCTTGGGGAGGAATTTACCAGATCCTACAGAGAAGGGAAAGAAATCTCCATTACAATATTATAACTTGCTTCTTGCAGACTTTTGAAAAATATTTTAAATACTGAGACTATAACTCAGTTATATTCTCAAAACACTTTTTTTGGAACATAAAGGTATGTGTTGGTAATGATGGTAGTGGTGGAGTTCCTAAATATTTCATTATGCTGAGTTTGGGATGCCCTCGGCTGACACTCAGTTATGCAGGCAATACCAATAATAAACAAATGACTATAAAGCTTTCTCGTGGCTATATTGTTTATGACCCCCTAAATTAGTTTAAAAAAGGAGGGGGAGACACTTTGAGGAAATTTCTTTTTTAGTGTCTTGATAGAGGAAGTGTGACATGGTAGGATACAGAAAGCCAGTCTAGAAGCAGCTGAATGGAGAATGGATTGAAATGGGGAGACAACTGGAGGCAGGCAAACCCAGTAGCGACTACTGCGGTTGTTTGGGCTTGAGATGATAAGAACTTGCACTAATCACCAGGGTGAGGGGTAGCCATGGGCCCTAGGCTATTTATGAGTTGGGAGCATGTTCAGAAGAAAGGAGCAGCTATATGGCTTAGAGCCTAGAAGCAGAGTGGCATCTCAGTTCCAGCCTCCAGCTCAGTCTGAATGAAGCCTGCAAAGGAAAACCAAGGCTAAAGGAAAGCCTTCAGTTCTATCCCTCTGAACCAGCAAAACTTTCTAACTAGCTCACAATGTCTGAGTGGAATAGTCCTGTCTACTGGAACTCCAAGCAACCAAGCCCAGAGGCCAGTTGTCCAGACCCAAATTCATATCAGGAACTTGCAGAGCTCAGACCAAGAGAACAGCAATCAGACTTTGCTCTGGATCACTTTTGGGGGTACTGAAATCTTCTATAGCTTAGAGCTGAGCTATCCTTGAGATATAACTGGAATAACCCAGTATTCAGTACCCTAGACATTCCCATCAGAAGTGTGCAGAACCTGGCCCTAACACAACATCTGAAGTCAGGAAATATACTGGAAGGATGAGCAAATAAAAAAGAATTCTACCATTAAAGCTATTATGGTGACAAAGATGTTTAAGACAAAAACCCAGAAGAAAAGAATGATTCCAGAACATCTACAAGCAAAGCCTCAAAGGAAAACATGGCTTGGACACAAAGTCAACTAGAATTCCTAGAAGAAATGAAGCAAGAGTTAAAAAAAAATTAAAACTTTTTATAAATGAAATAAGAGCAGTGGAGCCAAAAAAAAAAAAAGGAAAAGAGAGGAGAATTAACAAAGAACTGGAAAGAGAATTAGCAGAGGAAAGACATAGAGGTACAAAAATCCTGGCAAAGCAACAAACTCCTTGAAAGTCAGAGTGTTCCAAATAAAAGCCAGTGACTCCATGAGATAAAAAAAATTAGAACAATATTAAATGATTGAGAAAATAGAAGAAAATATAAGCCACCTTATATTTAAAACAAGTGACTTGTAAAATAGATCAAAGAGAGAAAATTTAAGAATGATTGGACTAGCTGAAAGCTATGACCAAAAAAGAACCTAAAAATGATGGTTCAAGAAATCTTGAAAGAATAATGCCCAGATCCTGAGAAACAGAGGAGGGCAAAGTAGAAAAAGAAAGAATCCACTGGTTACCTCTTGAAAGAAACTCCAAAGTGAAAACTCCCAGGAGTTTTCATAGCCAAAATTCAGAGGTTCTAGGTCAAAGAAAAATACTTCAAGCATCCAGAGAGAAAGATTTGAATTACTGAGGAACCACAGTCAGAATCACATACTATTTGGCAATCATCACTAAAAGGAGGGGAGAGCTTAGAATGCAATATTCTAGAAGGCAAAGGATATAGGTTCATTGCCAAGAATAACTTACCCAGCAAAACTGAGCATAATCCTGCAAGGGGGGAAATGGATATTTAATAAAATAGAGGATTTTCAATCATTCCTAATGAAAAGACCAGAGCTGAGTAGAAACTCTGAAATGCAAATGCAGGATTCAAGAGAAACATAAAAAGGTAAACATGAATGAACAATTACAAAGGACTAAACAAGAATAAATTGCTTGCATTCTAACTTGCATATTGTATAATCCTTATAATTTGTATATGGAAATTCTCTTTGTCTTTGTCTCTCTCTCTCTCTCATTTAAAGTTAGAACAAAAAAATTACTCACCTTGGTATATCCTACACTCTAGCCACTCTGGCCTTCTTGCCATTCCTCACACATGGCACTCCATCTTCTATTACCAGACCTTTGTATCTTTGTCTTTTATACCTGAAACACTATCCCTCTTCCCCACCATTTTTTTGGAATCCCTAATTTCTACCGAGACTCAGCTTAAGCACCACTTTCTGCACAATGCCTTTTCTGATCTCCCCAGATTCTAGAGCATTGCCCCCAAGGTTAACTAATAGGGAGGAAGGGAAAGAGAAGGAAAAGAAAGAATAAGCATTTATACAGTGCCTGCTCTAGGAGCACTTGCTAAGTACTTTACAAATATTATCTTATTTGCTCTTCACAACAACCTTGTGAAGTAGGTGTTATTATCATCACAATTTTACAGTTGAGACAAAAAAAAAAGGTTAAGTGACTTGCCCATGGTCACCCAGCTAGTAAGTATCTGAGGCTAGATTTGAATTTGAATTCAGGTCTTCCTGACTCCAGACTCAATGCTCCATCTACTGTACTACCTACCTGCTATTTATATACATACATACACACACATATGTGTGTATGTTTTGCTTTCTCCATTAGAATGTAAACTCCTTGAAGGCAGGGACTGTTTTTATTTTTGTGTTTGTATCTCTAGCACCAAGCTAGTGTCTAGCACATAGTTTGATAGGAATAGGGATTAGACCTATGATTTCCTTGGTATTGGGAACTCCAGGGTGAAGAAACTCAGCTAACCAATGCAAGTTAGCAACTTTCCTTTAACTTATGGAATTAGAGAGTTGCTTAGAGTATGGGTTGAGTGACTTGCCCGTGGTCACACGGCCCGGATGTGTCAGAGGCAGAACTTGAATTCTGTTCTTCCTAACTTCCAAGTTTAGTTTCTCTATCCACTACATTTCAACAAATATTTGTGAATTGATTGGGGGAAAAAAGAGATAGAAGGTGC